TTTTTGCATGCACAGTAGCTTCTCTTTCAATAACTGCCACATGTTTTTTAAATGTATAAAAGAGAAACAAAACATGTTTCTGTGTATTTTCGACTATACTCTACAAGATGGTAATATTAGATTTTTCAAATACAGAGTTCGAGACACCCGCCCCAGAAGTTACACGTTACGCGGACAAGCCGATATATATATATATATATCAGATATAAAATAATCTTGTGATTTTTCTTGAAAAAATTATTTAGATTAATTGCCATCTGATGATTCCTTTGGTAAGGATGAAATCTATAGATCATGGTAGCTGGTCACAACCCTATAAGGTTCCCAGTAATTCAAAAATATAGAACAACATGATCGGCATATATCCAATAAGAAAACATGTACTAATATTAGAAAAAGATCCTGATTTGTGTTATATCCTACGAAAGCATCACGAAAATAGGTCATACATTTTATATAAAATTTCTTGATACTTTTCAGGCGATTCTTCATATGGTCTGGTTTCGATTACAAGAGTTGGACTCGAACCTGTAGCAATCGAACATTCAATTGGAGGAGATGAACTTGAAGTTGTAGCAATTTCGGTTGGAGAATTTGAACCTGAAGCTGTAGCTATCGAACATTCAATTGAAGGATACGAACTTGAAGTTGTAGCGATTTCGGTTGGAGAAGTTGATTTTGAAGTTGTAGAAGACCAACTAGGAGCTGTAAAAGTCCAACTTGAGGCTGTAACAATCGAACATTCAGTTGGAGAAGACGAACTTGAAGCTGTAGAAGTCCAACTTGAAACTAGATTACTAAACAGACGAAGCAATTTCAAAATTTTTGAAATTAGAGCACGCTTTATCCATGTGACAATGGATCTACGATTATATCTGTAAATCAAGTACATGCCAGCAACGACAATCAAAACCGCCACGTCGCAACGAAAAGGCGGCATATAATGTGTTTTTGCAGATTTCGAATTTGAATTTTCTAATTTTAATGTAGCACTAAAATGAATCAGTAAGAGTGGCTTAGTGCTGTTCTCATTTGGCACAATATATAATAATCCTCGAAGTTATTTATCTAAAAAGCGAGTAGCGGTCTTATTGACAAGCTGTAATTTACACCTCGATCAAATGGTTCGTACTTTTCAAATAAGTATTGCTAAACATGTGGACTACTTCTGTTGCAAACTTGTTAAGTCTATCAAGCGAATTAAGTGACGCCCTAAAATCCTTAGGATATACCTAAAGTAGTGGCGTCGGCCGTCTAATATTTTACGGAAGGCTCAAGGAAAATTTTCCTCTGTATACTCTGATAGCCCAAGTCGTGCTTTATAATTCTATAATATTTCACATGCCTTCAAACGATACGGTAGTATTGAAACCATAGCAAAAATAGTAAGTGATTGACGAAAAACATTTTTGAAGACAATATTTTCAAGGTTTTATTGCATCATGTGTTCAAAATGCTCATCCTAATTGTTTCTACACATCTGCATACGTTAAATCCATTTATCGAGAGTCTTTTTATACTCGTCTTTTCTCGATGACTTCGTAAATTTGATCGCAGCATCATACAAAGATTCGGAGTCATCTTGACCGTCCAGATTTTGTTTGATCAAATCAAAGAGCCAAACATCGCATAGAACAAGATCTGGAGAATTAGGAGAACGTAGCACAACTGTACGCCGTCTGATTGTAGATAATTGACTACCTCTTCATGATCATGCGGCTTTCCGTTATCATGATGAAGTTAAATTGATCGAGTGCTTAAGGAAGGTCGATGCTTCTTAATTTCATCAATCACTGCTTGCAGACAATGATTGATATGATATTGATGGCCGACTGTTTGTCTATTTTCACACGACGATTCTCAAAACTGGACTAATTGACTTAAAAAAATAGACAAGAGGTTTTGGAGCAAAACAACTACGTCGAACCACCGTTTTGGCGAAGGATCTCCTCTTTCTACCCAAGCAGCATTCGATGATTTTCGATCAATTTGAGGATGATAAAACCAGGATTTCTCATCGACAACTACATCACATATCTCCAAATACCCAAATCTAATTTGACTTAGTTCTCTGGATGCATTCGTACTCGGTCAGCTTTTGGCGAGTTTGTAAGATGATCAGAAACATAATGTACAGTAATATTTTCTCAGCTGTAAATAATCGGCATTAATCCTTTGAACGGCTACATGACTTGGAGCACTCTGTGCTTCGAGTTCGTCAACTGTAACATAAAGATCCTCATAAATAAGATCCTGAATTTGTCTAATGCTTTATTATGTTGTCTTTGCCACAGATCTACCAGGTCTTTCTTCATCTTCAATTTCTTCTCGGCCGTCACGAAACCATTGTGCTCATCTTTGAGCTGTTCTGAGAGGTGGAGCTTCATCACCAAAGAGTGTACATAATTCATTATGAATCACTGGTTCAATATGAAGGGCAGTACGCATTTTAGTATAGAAACGAAAATATTCTCTACCCATTTGGGGAGAAGTGAATAGTTTTGATCGTATTGTGATATATGGTGAAAACAAGATGCACTAGTATCTTCGGGGTATCAATTCGATTCTTCTCTGTTTTCCTCTTTATCTCTCTTCTCTCTTATTTTCTATATTTTGCCAACTGTTCTAGTATTTATCCTGTTTATATATTTAACGCACACACACTGTAAAAAAGGAACTGTACGGAACCTCAAAAAAGGGTTCGGTAGACGACAAAACGCTTGCAAATGTGTTCAAAGTTTCAAAACCAGAATAAAAAAATTGACAGAACCTTTAAAGGATCTGACCATGTGCCCAACTTCAGATCCTTTTTTCTTCGAAACCTTTTTAAGTTCCGTAGGCCAAAAAATAGGTTTTGTAGGAAAATGCAAACCCTTAGAGTTTTGTATTAAATC